GTCTCCAGCCATTATTATATCTTGTGTATTTCTTAATGGATTGCCTTTAAATTTTGTATGTGATGTAAGGGTCCACTAGGGTACATCCACTGAATATATGTGTTAGTTTGGATTAACGACAGTCTGAGCTACAGAAAGTGGAATATTGCTAAACTATCACTCCTGTTAATAACACACAGTGTGTTCTGTAGGTTGTTTTGGCCGCACGACATACTACCGTGTGTCTCGATTTCTGGTGATACACCACAATAAACTGAATATAAGTTATTATAAAAAACATACCTTCCATCCTGTAGTGACTAAGAAGCTAAAATGTTGAAATAAAGGTTATTAGCCGAAATGTTGACCACCTTTTCTGGCTAAGTTAACCTCCCGGTATTTACAAATATCACTGAATTGGTTTCCATTGTAACTAAGTTTTGTACCAGAATTTTACGAACGGGATTTTAATTTAGTTTTGGGCGGCGTGGTTTGTTTATGTGCTCTAAAGCACAAAGCTACACAATGGGCTATCTATGCCCTTCTCACCACGGGTATCGAAACCCGATTTTTAGCGTTATAAGATTACTGCCACCGAGGGACAGAACGGCATGGAATGAATTCTGATGTTTTTCAGTAATTATTGTTTAGAAAGTGATCACGAACATTTGGTGGTGTTATTACAAAAACAAATAACAACAAAATAGAAAATTGTTTTAAATTTCATTATTATATGATGTCATTTGTGTCAATAAATAACGGAATAAAGTAAGATCCCCCTTTCTGTTTTTTTTATTTATAACTGAAACAGGTATCATGAGAATTGGTTTCTTTATTTCATACTAAAATTTTCACACTGCATGAATTACTACAATGATGTACAGTTACAATATTGCTGGTATGGAAGTTTTACGTAATGAATATATGTTTAATACATACGATACTACTGGATATAGTTTTTAATACAAAAAGATTACTGGTTTGAGGCATAATAATTTTTTCTAAAATGATTTGCTAAACTGTTGCAGTATACTATCAACAATAAACTTCAAATAATGTACTTTAAATCATGATCTGGTCAAATAGTATTATCCTATAAGCAGTTACCGAGACTCTTCGTCATATATAATACAAGCTGAAATGCCTGTCATCTGACGGGGAATGTTTAAACTTAATTCAAACAATGTAAGTTTAACAGCAATCATATATTTCAAAGTAATAATTGAACATAAACTTTATCTCAACATTTGAAAATTATAACAAAGCTTCTTCATAAACAACATTTGCAGTTTGCTTTCCAACTACCAACAAATAAAGATTTTGAGGTGATCCCACCCTTGAACACCCTACATTTTATTGACCATGAGAAAAGCATGGTTATTTGAGAAACAATCCAGCAACTTTTATACTTTGACCTTGAATCTCTTTAGAATATTCAACATTGTCTAAAACGTCAACCTGCCAAGATTATTTGAGATTGACTCAATAGGCTGTGAGTAATTAACCAATAGGCTTTACAAAATAGAAATAGGGTTAAGTTCAATTTTGACCCCCCCCCCTTAGGACAATCCCCAAAGTTCATTGGGCTTGTCTAAAAATTTCGGTTG